AAAAAAAAAAAAAAAAAAAAAAAAAAAAAAAAAAGAATGTTTTTAGTGTCATTAAATATAGTAGTGAGAAGTCATTAATTATATATATAAATATATAGTAGTGGAAGCAACCTGAATACCTATCAATGGAAGAATGAAACTGCAGAATAATATTCAGCAGTAAAAGAAAAAAAAATGAATAAACTTTGTTTTCATATATCAATATGAATGAATCTCAAATATAATAAATGTAAAAAATAAAATTGCAGAATTATATAGTATGATATTATTTACGTAACTTTTAAAACACCCAGAACAGTACTACATAATGCTTATGGACTATATATGTATATAGTAAAACTATATCATTGGAAAAAGAATATACCAATTTTGGAAGAGTGAGGTATAAAGGGGGGTTTCAACTGTGTACCTAAGGTTTGATTTCTGAAAACTAAAGTGCATGAAGTACGTATGGCAAAATGTAAGTTTTCATTAAATCTGGATGGTGGATATAGGAGTATTCATTATGCCATTATCTAAAGGTTTGAAATAGTTCATAATTTTGAAAAGTTAAAAAATGCCTCATATGTCAATCAATATGCCTCTTGTTTCTTTTGCAGCTGAACTGAATGTTATTGCTCCAATTATCTCTAACTTCTTCCTTGCATCCTATGCACTGATCAATTTTTCAGTATTCCATGCGTCACTTGCAAAATCTCCAGGTGATTTTACATTTTTGTAAAGTTTTATAAATGTCGTAATGTCTTTGACTTTAGAGAAAATAAAACTTGAACAAACACATTTTTAAGATGGTGTATGTGAGATTAGCTCACTAATGCTCAGTCTGCCTTTACAGTGGAGTCAAATTGAGTCTTCAAAGATCTCTTTATCATGAAGTGTACTGGTAACATTCTGTTTCTTGTTTGCAAAGCATTTAAGATGATAGCATTACTCTCAAATTCTGACTAACACTGTGAAAGAATTATTTTGGTTTTTTTGTTTTGTTTTTATCATTTATTTAGCTGATTTCAATTTCAGATTTAAGAACATTATGATATAGTTAACCTGTCCAGAAATATTTTTAACACAATGAGTCCTGTGGAATTCTAATATAACGGGTCTTTAGAAACTGAGAAAGTACCCCCATGTACTGTTTGTTATAAACCATGACAACAGTTGAACAGCAGGAAAGGAAATGAAGGAACAAAAATGTGAGAACTTAGGACAGAAGCATCTTAGTTTCCGTTTTTACTTTAAGAATATAAATTTTAGAGGTGGTTGTGGCTATAAAAGGGCAACACAAGGGATCCTGGTGTTGGACTCTTCTTTAATTTGACTGTTAATACCAATATCTTAGTTGTGATGTTGTAGTATCCTTTTGGAAGATGTTATCATTAGGGTAAACAAGACAGAAGTACCCGGAATCTCTGTATTATTTCTCACAACTTTGTGTGAACTTGCAATTATCTCAAAGTTAAGTTTAATTTTTAAAACTATAAACTTGATTGAAATGATTTAAAAAGAATAGTTTTGGCTATGGAACTAGCTATGATTGAAAATTTTAAAACGTGGTCTTCACAGTTTTTAGAGTGAGCTTAATTCATAAATAATACTTCACTAAATGGGAAGATATGTTTCTATAATAAACTCTTAATTTTTTAAGTAAGTAGATGAATTTTTAAAACTTTTCAAAAACATTTTGTTTGAACTGTTTTATATATTCATTAGAGTATGGATATGTCTTATGCTAAAAATCAGACAATAAAGCTACACTAATAAGGACTCAATTTGAAATCTTTTTAAAATCTTTTCTAGTTTTTAGCTTTCACTAGGGTAGGTTGGTGTACACTTTTTTGGTAAAGAGTTTATTGAATACAGAACTACTAAGATAGAATAGTGTGGAAGTAAATAGATGTGCCATCAAGAATCGTGAAATTGTGGCTCAGTTGGTTAAGAGCTCGCTCAAGAGTTTGAGCTCTGAGCAACAGCGGTTCGAGTCAGCCCGAGCTGAGCAGCCGTGAGCTGCCAAAAAAAAAAAAAAAAAAAAAAAAAAAAGAATCGTGAAATTAAATCGTGATCAATAATGGCCTATGACTTTACTCATATATTAGACATGTACTTAATGTTTAAAGTCCTCTCATTGTAGCAACCACAGTTATTTTGTGCATTCATATGTACCATTGTCTAAAGCAGTTGAGGCATGTGAGTGACTTATCTATTTGTTATTGTTAGGATGGCGGCCAGCATTCAAATACTATAACATGTGGATATCACTCATTGGAGCAATTCTTTGTTGCATAGTGATGTTTGTCATTAACTGGTGGGCTGCATTGCTAACATATGTGATAGTCCTGGGGCTGTATATTTATGTTACCTACAAAAAACCAGGTCAGTAACCTTTTCCATTTAGTATTTCAAACTAGAAACCTGTAGAAGTTTTTTGTTACCTTTTATCTAAGTATTATCTTTTGTATATTTCAAAGTTTTATTTTGTGTAAAATTTCAAATACTTTGTTTCCAAATACATTTTAATGAAACAATTACTACAAGAGTTTTTTAGTCTATGGAATTCCATTCTTACCCATAAATTAAATTTAATCCTTTTTGTAGAAAAATAACAAATTCATATAATTAACATTCTGTTGCCCTCAATATATTTTAAAATTATTCTTTGAGAGGATTAGATTTGTGGTAGTAGTCGCTGTTAGCCTAATAAGCATATGTATTACCTGCTATGATGTTAGTACCTACTGTAATAATGTACCATGGAATTCACAAAATACTAGAAGACACCCTGTCTTCCCACTAGCTTACTATGTATCAGGGAAAACTGGACAAACATGTTCTAACTGGGAAATAGTCAAAGATTATCTAGAATGTATCTTACTGATAACTGTTGGTATATCTTTACATAAGGAGATGATGCTAAGATATATTAGGAGTGGTCCAGTATTCAGTATAGTAACCTGTAACACAGATTAGAGGGAAGAGCCAGTGATACAGGTTTGAAAAGTTTTGGCTCAATAGAATACATTAGGAAGAGATTACAAGAGTAGTTGCAATGTAGTCATTTTAAATAGTGAGGAAACATTTTGTGATTCTGGTATGACACGGTGAAGTTTTGGAACAGAGTGGTGGCTTTAGAAATGAAATGGACAAAGAAGGTATTGTTTACCCATCTTAGAAGCAATTATTTCTCTAGTATGCATGCTACCTCTCTAAAGTAACACATGTCTAAAATCATCGTTTCGTGTCCAGGCTGTTTATTCAATAAGGAATAACATTTGCCTGTTTAAATAATTTAAACTGTTAAGTACTATAAGTACTACTTCTTAACAATCAGAGCTCTGCCTCTTTCCCTTTAAACCTTTGGCTATATAAACAATAATTTTAAAATGTTTTCTTTATTTGTGAAAGCAGCCCTGTCATCTCAGTCTTTTCCAAAATGTACTTTCCCTTTAAATGCAACTGTAGTTCAGATTAGCATTGTCTTAATGTCATGCTGGTTCCAACTAATAGTTTAGTTTAGTAGTTGACTGTGAATGTGAAAGCATTGTTTACTTCTCTGTGTGTCTCAGATTGGTTATTGGTTGGTTGTTAAGTTTGGTGTCATGCTGCACGAGCACTGTCTCCCCACAGATGTGAACTGGGGATCCTCGACACAAGCCCTGACCTACCTGAATGCGCTGCAGCACTCGGTTCGCCTTTCTGGAGTAGAGGACCACGTGAAAAACTTCAGGTGAGCGAGTAGGCAACATAAACATTTGTCTTAGGTGACGGTCAGATCTTCACTTCCTGTTCAGTAACATTTTAACATGCTGATATCTCATGAAAAGTTCTCTAAAAGCATAGAATATTTTTTGTTTGGTTGGACTTGGGCAATTTATTCAGATTTATTCAGCTTACTCAGCTTTCTTCATTATCTAAATTTTACATCTATCTTACAAAAATGTTATGAAAGTTTTAGAGGTCTCTCATCTGAAGACTTTTAAATGGGAGGCATCATAAAGTGAACAGAAATTTGTAAAAAAAAAAAAAAATGGATCATTAGTCATTCTCATATTGTTCACTTAAGCCTGGCACTGAACAAATGACTTTCTGTTATCATGTGTAACCCCCTTCTATTTGCTTTTGCAAAATAAACACAGAAATATGTTCCATGTATGTCAGTAAACCAAAAGGAAAAATGTTTTTTAAAGAAAGCCCGCAGAGTGGACGAGCACTAGAAAAGAATTGCTGTACCATATTTCTCCCAGTAAGCTAAGTCGTCATGTGTTTTCTTTGTTACTGTTGTCTAGATCTACCTCCTCTTTGTTTCTGAAATGAAAAGTTTCCTGAGATCACAGATCTTCAGCTTTGGAGTAGAGAGAACCTGAGAAAAGAAAAGGGAACAAGACCCCTGGGAGGAAAACATTAATTTCAGTGCATTTTAGATAGTTGAAGACGAGTATGACAGAAAATAGAAATTGTTCCTTTATGTGGAAAGTTGTATCCCCAAACTGAGAGCATATCTAAGAGTCAGAGTTAATTTGCCATCAATAAAAACCTGTTGCTTTGGCATATTATAGTAATGGGAACATTTTAAAAAATATATTTTATTCCAATATGGCTTTTTTTTTTCTGGGTGCAGTACTATCTTTATTTTATTTTTAAAGTTTTATTAAATTTGTTGGGGTGACATTGGTTAATAAGATTATATAGGTTTCAAGTATACAATTCTAAAATACATCATCTATATTGTGCATTGTGTATGACTTCTAAAATTTTCATCAGAATTATACACAAACATAGTTTAAAGAGGAAAAACTTAGGTTTGTCATGAAAATCACAAGAATGACTAGGAGTTTAGAGGTAGGAGATGCCACGTGCAGAGATGGCCCCACTTCTCATAGTCCTATTTCTCTCATGCCACGAAAAAACACTTTGCACTCTTAGCTGTTTCATTTACTGCTTTCTTCATGCTTATATTCTCAAACAACATCTTTCTCCTGATGTACGTTTTAATTTTTAATTTTAGTCATTATCTATTGATGTCTTTCATCCACATGCACTTACTGCACACATGCACCCTTCCCCTGATCTCATCCAGAATATTTTTATGCCATGTTTGGATTAGATCATACTTGGTATTTATAGTTTTGTGACTTTTCAAACATGATTCGGAGCTAAGCCATGTATTAAATTATGACTGCTGCTTCTCTCCTGTACAGCTTTTTGTTTTCTCTGGAGCCCATAATTTTTTTTTTCCTCTTATTTAACTTTATCACTATCTCAGCTTTCACCAAACTTGCTGAAAGAGTTTGTTTCCTTCACTTTGTAGTTTCTGTTTTCCTTGAAATGTGTTTCTCTCACTGTTTCTTATTAGTTTAATTTGGGTTCTTGGATTCAGCCTTGTCTTAGTATCTGTGATCCTTGGCTGGGGAAGCCCCGCACTGGTAGGTGGGGTTTGTCCATGAAGTCCTTACTATAGATTAATGTAGCCTTGCCGGTTCCTTGAGAAAGTTAAGTCATCTTAAAGGCTTTCTTTTTTTGATCTGATTAGATTTCCCAGAAGAGAATCTTTTAATCTTCTGCTTGTTGGTAAACTCCGGGGTACCCGTTTTGAGAGCCCAGTGGAAAAGGAGCTCAGAGCTCTCAGGATAGAGCATATAACTGTTCTCCTAACTCCTTCCCTATTTAAAGTAGCTGTTTCTGCCCCAAATGTTGCTGAGTTCTCCCGACCAGAGGCCCTCTCTAGCAAATAAGCCCTCGCCAAATAGGATTGGAGAGGGGCAGAGACAATGCCCATCAGAGTGACAGATATAATTTGGGTTTATCTAGTTGCTTCTTATGCAAATTTTAAACCAGTCCGCCTTATTTTAGTTCGTTTAACACATTGCTTTCCTCCTCGCCCCGTCTCCCCTTCTAGAGACATGTACTACCTCTAACTCCAAGTCATTTTGGTGATTTTTTTTTTTTAGGTGTAAATCAGGTAGCTTCGCAGCTTCCTCTAATGCTCATTTAGGATTTAGCCCTTTCTTGATTTGTAAAATCCTTTATTGTCCTTCCATCTGTTTTCTAGCTTTTAATATTTTCATACTATTGTATCTGCTCCTGTTCTCCATATTTTGTGGTTTTGTGCCTTAAAAGATCTCATTGTATCATGGAGATTTTTAAGAAAAGAGTTAAAATGAAGGCAGATAATCATACTGTCATTGCTGCTCAAAGTTATCCCTAATGTATTGGCATTGTACCTTTTTTGGTGTGATAAAACTATACTAAGTTATGACTTTGTGCTATGTTAGTACTATTTAGTAAAGATAGGGACTACAAATTACTTTTTCCACACTAATAGGTCGTACTGAGTATAGGTTAAAGTACCATGTGATGCAGGGGCTCAGCTCCCGGCAGGTGAATGCAGGATGCAGTGAGGCTGAAAAGGAACAACAATAGAGCCATGGATGGGAGGTTCATACCACTGTATTCTCGAGGGCAGCCGGGTGAGACACAGGAAGTAGGATCTGCAAGATCCGCACCATCTGCACTTGCTAACGTAGCCACGGCAGTTATATAGCATACGAGCAGTAGTGGCAGACAGCCAGCTGCTTACGTGAGTGCTTGCATGTGCGGGTTACACAGCCGAGCCAGCACCTTTCCATGTGAGGCCAGGAGCCTGGAAACTGCTCTCTGGGACTCCATCCCAACATGCCGTAACAAAAAGCCGAAAAAATACAGGGCTAAACAAGATAGACATCCATGTTATGTGATAGCCCAGAGGTAGATGGATGGTTCTTTGGCAGGGAGGCAGATTTGCTGCACTTGGTCATTCAGGTCCCACGTTCCTTGTATTCATTCCCTCGGTGGTGTTTCTGTCCACGTGGTCAAAGTCATTACAGCACCCATGGCCTAGCTTACAGGAAAGGGAAAGTAAGTATGGAGGGTGGCCAGCTTCCTTTTTAAATTACATGACCTGGAAATAGGAATATCTATGGGCGGTAAATCAGTCATGGGCCCACTTTCAGCTGCTAGAAAGGCTAGAAAATGTAGTCTGTGGCTGGGGTGCCATTCAACCTGCTAAAGCTCAGACGGGGTGACTGGACTATATTAGCAGTCTAGATTGTAGAGGATGATTTCACATTTGATTGCCCCAAAGCATTTCTCCCAGACAAAATTGTTTTTTCAGATAGCTTGCTAAAATTCTGAATATTGGTATATTTTTCAGTCTTTTTTAAGTTTCAAGCTTATTTTATTTATTTATTTTTTAAGATTTTATTGGAGAATTGGGAGAGGGGAACAGCATTGGGGAATCAGGGAAGGGGAACAGACAAGTTGCTATCTTTTTGTTCTTCAGTCTAGTTGTGGAGGACGTCGCTTTACTGGCCCATGTTGGTATTATCATTGCGCTCTTCCTGGGTGAGGCAATTGGTCGCTGGCCATTGGACGGCGGCTCATGGCAGCTCACGCTGGCTACTGGCTACACACGTAGCTCACGGCAGCCCACTGTAGCCTACGCCTTCGCTGGCGACTCCCGGCAGCCCAGCTCCAGGTTGAGCTGTTGTTCTGCATCTTAGCTGTAGAGGGCAGTGTCACTGGCCCTCATGTGGGATCCGAACCGCAGCCCTGCTGCTCAGAGCTCGCACTCCTAAGCCAACTCAACCAACGCGCCACCTGTCTGGCCCTCGTGCTTATTTTATGAATATAGTGAGGAACTACTCTAACAATTAATGTAGTAGGTAAGGCAGAATTTTTAGTCTATTTGCTTTCTGTTATTTTTGTTTTAATTATATAAATTCTTGTTTTAAAGAACTTTTGCTAAACTGTTTGAACTTATAAAATGGATACCCGAACATTTTTTTCATCAAACAAGATTTATTTTCATTTCTTGTCAGGGAAAATTAATATGAAAGTCATGCCATTGTCGTGTGTTTGCAAAGATATTTTAATTCAATTTTGGATCTCTCCATAATTAGTTAGAATTAAAACTTTTAATTCAAATAGAAGCCTTTTCTTCACCACAGGTGGTTTAACTCATATGACAACAATCATTAAAGTTAAACTAGATTAAAGAGGGCTAATATTACAAAGTAGAAGTAATTATAATGTGATCGAACTAAGAAGGACAGTAAAGTAACCTGTTTTTGTACATGAAGGCAAGGCCATTCTCTCAGGAAGTTTTATAAACTCTGAAATAACTGGAATATTTATTACCTTTAGAAGATGAAAATTTTTACATATTTTTTTAACTAGCATGATCATTTCTTTCTGTAATACGAGAATCTTGATGTGTAATATTAGCTATTCATTTAGAAGGATATTTGGCATAATGTTCATTCCAAGAAGGTCCTGTTTCTGTGTTTCTCGTGTATCAAGAAACTCTGGTTAAAAGTCATCTTTTATGAGAACCATGTGGCCTGTGTCTTGAGGACAATTGCACAAATGAGATTCTAGTGTAATATATGCTTAGAGAAACAAAATCATGTCCATGTTACCAAAAACCTAAACTCTAATTTTGTTTTTCTTTTCACTCTTAAATTAGGCCACAGTGTCTTGTTATGACAGGTGCTCCAAACTCACGCCCAGCTTTACTTCATCTTGTTCATGATTTCACAAAAAATGTTGGTTTGATGATCTGTGGTCATGTACATATGGTAAGTGTTTGTTTTGTTTACTGTATTAAAACATTTTTCACTGTATATAATTTATCATTTGTGGAACTTTCTAGATCTGAAATAATTTGACAACATAAATCTGTTTGGCTTGTGTGGGTTTTTTTTAAGGTAGTTATTTTCAAAATATTTTTCCCACTAAACTGTCTTAGAACCTTATTTCTAAAAAGATACTGGAATTTGAAATGTAATTGTTTTTCTTACTTATTATGACTAGATTTTAGCAAACTATATTGCCCATATAATGGTTTGGCTAAGCACAATAGCTTCTTGATAACTAAGGAGCCTAAATGAAATTCAGCATGTGTTTTTCCTTATTGATATTTCTTGTGAAGTCCTGAGAACACTGGGAACATTTACTTACTAGGAAAAAAAGAGGTTGGAGGAGGTAGACAAATTATGGTAAATATCTAGTATCTGGTATATAAGAAGAGCAGTGGGGGCACCCTAGTTGGGACCCCCTCTCGTTTTGAGAGCTGTTACTTTCTGCTCTAATAAAACTATCTTTCACTGTAAACTTTAAAAAAAAAAAGCAGAGTGAATGCCAAATTTCCAAGTTTAAACACTTTTAATTACCCCATTCATTTTTGTTTTAATCATGAGTAAAATAATTATTTAAAATGATGGTAAACTCTCATCTAAAAAGTAGTTTTATGTTTTTGGCATCTTGGCTGTTGAAAACAGTCACTAGATGATGGATTACTTGTTCTGCATAAGAAATTTATTTGTCAGATTAGCTTTTCCCCAAGCTCTATTGTTCATCTTGTTTTGGTGCTAGAAATGTGTGTTTTATGCCCTATGTCTCAGCCCCTGCTAGAGTTGTTCTTCTACTTGAATAGTAGCAAAGTCAAAGCCGTGTGTGTGTGTGTGTGTGTGTGTGTGTGTGTGTGTGTGTGTGTGTGTAGGGTGATGGAAGGACACATTGAGACATCGATCCCAGGGACCTGTGGAGTTTTCTAGATTGCCTCCAAGTTCATCAATTCAAGTTGGTGTCTTGCACACAAGAAATTACAAATGAGGCAATTTTCCTGCTCAGAAAGATAAATTGTATTTTTCCTTTACTTATTCATGTGTAATTAGGGTATATTCTTAAACTTATTTTTAGATTTTTGCTTTATACATTTGTGTATAACATATTTTATGTATTGTTTGCAAGGATCAACTAGAATTGCAAGTTAAAGCTCATTTTTATCATTTAACAGAAGTATAAAGGAAAAATGCATTTATATTATATCTCTCACTTTGATTTCCAATAATATTTCTAGGTTACTGAAAATTAACTCACATATTTGGGACAAACAGAAAACATGCTGGGAAGCTTTCTGTAGAAAAACAAAAGGCTTGTTTTTCTCTGTAAACTCTTCTCCATTTTCTTTCATTTTTAATGCCTCTCGTTTACTTAGTATTGAAAAGTTTCTATTTCTTTTTCAGTCTGTTTCTCCTCTTCTTCCTTTTTTGGGCACTCCCTGTGCCTTAACTATTCCATCAGCTTTATCTTTTTATAATCTTAATTATTGCAAAGAATTCACTGACATGAAAATGAAATGCTATTATTATACTTCTCTCCCCAATCCCCAACATTTAGGCACCTTGTTTAAGCCAATGTAACAGGAAGATTTTTTATAGATGTGGAATAGATTACCTTTCAATTAAAGATATTATTAATATTTTTTCCTTACAGGGCCCTCGTAGACAAGCCATGAAAGAGATGTCCATTGACCAAATTAAATATCAGCGCTGGCTTATTAAAAACAAAATGAAAGCCTTTTATGCTCCTGTACATGCGGATGACTTGAGAGAAGGTGCACAGTATTTGATGCAGGTAAAGTTGTTGTGCTTCTCAAATGACCACATTTTAGTTTTGTTGTAAGCTTTTAAACATTTTTTTATTCTAGGTTTTATTCTTCATATTAAAACAAATGGTAAAGCTTTTAAAATATCTTTGTTAAAGTAGACTGCTAAAAGTTACATAAATGAGTTAAAGGGACTGTATAGAAATAATATACTGTTCGCTAACAGTGAAGAACCCATTTATAAATTATCTTAGCCTATTTCTCTTCTTCTCTAAGATGTTTCCCATTCAACTTCCTGCTACACCTCACTGGGATTTTTTGTTGTTGTTTATTTGCTTTTTGTAGGAGTATTAAGTAATGGCAGTCCTTAATTTATTTTCTTTTTTTTTTAAAGATTTTATTGGGGAATTGGGGGAGGAGAACAGCGTTGGGGAATCGGGGAAGGGGAACAGACAAGTTGCTGTCCTTTTGTTCTTCAGTCTGGTTGTGGAGGACGTTGCTTCACTGGCCCAAGTTGGCACCATCATTGTGCTCTTCCCTGGCGAGGCAGATCAGTCGCCGGCTTCTGGACGGCCGCTCACTGCGGCTGCTGGCTGCTCACGCTGGCTGCTGGCTACACACAGTAGCCCATGGCAACCCACTGTAGCAGGGGTTGCAGCCTACGCCTCGCCGCGACTCACGGGCAGCCCAGCTCCAGGTCGAGCTGTTGTTCAGCATCTTAGCTGTGGAGGGCAGTGTCACTGGCCCTCATATGTGGGATCCAAACTGGGGACCTCTGGCATCCCAAGCCAGCTCTTAACCAATGCACCACTCGGCCGGCCCTAAAATGTATATGTATGTGTGCCTAAATAATGGAATACATAGTAAAAATACAAAGAGGGCATGCAAAAGATACATAGGGTACTTGATGGGTTTTTGTAATGTTTATTTTCTTATGCTAGATGGTGGGTATATGATCATTTATTACTTAATTCACTTTTATATGTGAAATACTTATCTATTTCAAGTAGAATGCTACCCTTCATCATAAGGTTGTTTCTACTGGGTAAATCTTGCTTGCTTTTATACAATTTATAGGAACATTTTGATAACTATGTATTTAATAAATGTTATGAAGGAAATATTTGCTTAGAGATATGGTTCTTAAACTTCATTATGCATCAGAATCACCTGGTAGACTTGATAAAATACAGACTGCTGGGCCCCACCTTTGGAATGACTCAGTAGGTCTGGGGCGAGGCCCGAGAACTTGCATCCTAACAAGTTTCCATGTGATGCTGCTGCTGGTGGTTCATATAAGAATATAATACTATTCTTCAGTATTTCCATGTATAGGAAAAATCTAGGATAAGTACATTCATAGAGACAGAAGTAGATTTGATGTTACCAGGTCCTGGAAGTTGGTGACAGAGGGTAATTATTGCTTAATGGTTACAGAATTTCTGTTTGGAGTGATGAGGAAGTTTTGGAAATAGATAGTGGGGCTGGTTGTACAACATTGTCAGTGTAATTAATGGCAATGAAGTGTACATTTTAAAATGGTTATAGTGACAAAATGTTTTATCTTTTACCACAATAAAAAAAAAGTTTTTAAAAACTTGTGTGCACACAACCTTGGGAATAGAATTTTCAGTTATAAAATCTTACCAAAGCAGTGATTCATAGGCTTTTTGGGCATGTAAAGCGTACTGAATTGCCACTCTTGATGAGGTTGCAAGAAAAACTGATTGATGGAATAATTGAGGAAGGAAATTAACCGAATTTCAGCAGAAACTTTTTCGTGATCGGTAAAAAGAATTGAAAATGTAGTGTTGATGGGACTCAGAGCTGTAACCAACAATGCATGTCCTGCATTCAGACTTTTGCTTCTAGGTTTAAATGGCTGTTATCAAAATATATAACTGAGAATACCACTCTATTATGATTTTCATAAAAGATTAAGTATATTCCATTATTTTTCTTTTACTAAAAATAGGAAAATTTTGATAAGACATAAAAGTACAAAAATGTATATTTAGAACTTTTCAAGTGTTTAATTTTATCTTTTGTTTTGTACCTGTTTAGTCATACATAATATATGATCAATATAGTAGATATAGTTTATAAAGATGCACATACTAGATGCTTAAGAACTTTTGCCAGTAAGGGTGCATAGTTGTAAAATGTTTAGAGGCTGTCAATTTGATTTCATCATTTTCAAAACATTTTGTTGAATGGTATATCTTTAAAGTTGTATTTTTCCTACATTTTAGGCTGCTGGTCTTGGGCGTATGAAACCAAACACACTTGTTCTTGGATTTAAGAAAGATTGGTTGCAAGCAGATATGAGGGAAATGGATATGTATATAAACTTATTCCAGTAAGTGTTCTTTTAATTCAGTTAACTTGGTTCAGAAAAATGTTAATTTTGAAAGCTTGCACTGACTGTTGAAGACTGTTTCTCATATAGTCTCTTCTACTAGAAAGAAACATAATAATGAGAAGAATCACATGGGGCTATCTGGGTTTTAAGTTGATGATCTATTAACAAAAAAAAATTTGTCTGTTCTTTGTATGTCGCTTTCCACGCAAACATTCACACACACATACACACATACACATACACATATACCTGGCTTCCCATTTAAGTTAGGAAGCTTTTCCACGTCTCGACAGCCGTTGGTGAGCAGAGTTTCTGTATGTGGTTAGACCCATCACTTTCTAAGTTATGTCATTATAATAATACGTGCTGAGGAAGACATTGCATCACTGATACCAAACTCAAACTAATTTTGCAGTTAATCATTTGGTTCATCCATTAAGCTATTTACATGTTTTTTTAAAAATGTACTTATATGTTTTGTTTCTCCATCCCCCTTGAAGTGTAAGTTCTGAGTTTACTGTTCACTTTCAGTGGTTTTTCCAGTGATCTTTATCAGATAGCTTAGTTTTGACTTACATCACTTTAACTCCCTCTTATGGGTTGTCTAGTGGGTTCTTTTGTATTCTTTTGTTACTTGATTTTACTCTGTTCGTGTTATTATTTATATTATATTATTTCTCTTACTGGAACTCCTGTTGTATCTATTTATAAAAGCACATAGTTATTTGCCTGTATCATGTATGACAGTTTTATTTTCATAGCTGCTTTGAAACATCTTTGAGGAAGTAATCAGACCTCTTACTTTACTTTTGTAAAAATTTTTAAATTACTTAAAATGCCCTTTCTCCTTTTAGAAGTGATCATACTCAACAACCTGCTCTCATTCTCAGTAAAATTTATTGTTTTTGTCTTCATGTATTTCTCTTAGCTTTAAATATATAAGCTTAAATTAAAATTAAATATGGGATTTCTGAAATTGTTCTTTTTCCATAATTTTAGCTTGTTTCTGATAGGATAAAAATATAGTTACAGCTTTAAACAGCTATAGGTAGAATATCAGTACTATAAAGATCTACATGTAAGTCGTTGTGAGAGGTATTACAGAAAAGGGGAAAGGGAATGGTATAAGATTTGAAAGTTAACATTATATGGATCTCACTAGAATTTTTAAAGCATATTAAAGAATCAGACATTTAAAGTTGAGAGTCATTTTAGAGATCATCCATTATTGCCTTCATTTTATAAAAGAGGAGACCAATTTTTGTGATTCTTTTTTTCCACCTATTATAGTGATGCTTTTGACATACAATATGGAGTAGTGGTTATCCGCCTAAAAGAGGGTCTGGATATATCTCATCTTCAAGGACAAGGTAAATCTTGTTTGAAATAACGTGGTTTTTTGGGTTTGTTTTTTTTTTAATTTTAAAAATATAAATTACTTTGTTAGAAAACTATATATAATTCTTACAAGTTCTTCAATAATTTTAATATTTACCATCTATTCTGTGTTATGTACTTAATGTATGGCATTTTAAGATCAGATCTGTTTGGCTCCACCAAAGTTTGTGTTTACTCTTTGCACCAACCGAGAATAAAATTCAATCCAAATCATAAATTTAAGAGAAACAAAGGTATGATTGTAGATTGGCCAAATTTGTAAAACTACATAATAAAATAGTTGAAGAAAAAAATTTTTTAAATGCTACTATTTATTTTCAGCTTCCTATTGATGTGATTTAGCATGTTAATTTATTTTTATTTATTTTTCATTAGTTTTAGGTGTACAAAGCATCATAATAAACATTTACACCCTCACAAAGTGATAAGCCCTCTCCCCCAAGGTACTACTCTTCTGTTAGGACTATTACAACACCATTGACTATCTTCCTTATGCTATACTCCACCTCCCATGACTATATATATGTACTTACTTATAGTTGACATACAGTGTTATTCTACTTCAGCTTCAGGTGTACAGTGCATTAGTCAGACATCTACACAGTCTATAAAGTGATCCCCCTGATAAGTCCAGTGCCCATCTGGACTTTGTTGATTATATTCCCCATACTAATGCTAAATCAGTAGACATTTTCTTGTTTATGAAAGTCCCATTTGTTTATTTTTTCTTTTGTTTCCCTTGCCTGAGGAGATATATCAGCAAAGATATTACTAAGGATAATGTCTGGGAGTTTACTGCCTATGTTTTCTTTTAGGAGTTTTGTGGTTTGGAGTCTTTAAGTCTTTAATCCATTTTGAGTTTATTCTTGTATATGGTTAAGAAAGTGGTCTAATTTTTTTTTTCTTTTGCATGTATCGGTCCAGTTTTTGCAACACCATTTCTTTTTTTTTTTTTTTTTTCCATCCAATCATTTCACGCATCTATTGAGTCTCAGTGGAGTCCTTTTTATTTTCCAAAGATTTGTATTGGGGAATTGTTGGAGGGGAACAGCATTGAGGAATCGGGGAAGGGGAACAGACAAGTTGCTGTCCTTTTGTTCTTCAGTCTAGTTGTGGAGGATGTTGCTTCATTGGCCCATGGTGGTATTATCATTGTGTTCTTCCCGGGTGAGGAAGTCACTCGCGGGCCATTGGACAGCCACTTACAGTAGCTCACGGCAGCCCACTGCAGCCTACGCCGTCACTGGCAACTCACCGTAGCCCAGCTCCAGGTTGAGCTGTTGTTCACCATCTTAGCTGTAGAGGGCGCAGTGTCACTGGCCCTCATGTGGGATCCGAACCAGGGCCCTGCTGCTCAGAGCTGGTGTCCCAAGCCAACTCAACCAACGTGCCATTTGGCCAACCCCAAGACACCATTTCTTGAAGAGACTGTCTTTACCCCACTATAAATTCTTGCCTTCTTTGTCATAGATTAGTTGACCATGGAGGCATGGGTTTATTTCTGGGCTCTTTATTCTGTTTTTTGATCTATGTGTCTGTTTTTATGCCAGTCCTGTGCTGTTTTGTTTACTATAGTCTTGTAGTGTAATTTGATATCAGGAAGGGTGATACCTTCAACTTTGTTCTTCCTTCTCAAGATTACTTTGGTTATTGGGGGTCTTTTATGGTTCCATATACCTTTTAGGATTAATTGTTCTATCACATATTTTCTATAGTTATTTCTCTTAAAACACAAATTAGTGATAAGGATTATGAAAAGCCATATTATGTTTGTCTTTATAATAAGTGTTTTTATGGTGGAAGTTAAATGTTTACTAATTCTTTCCCAAAATATAGAAGAAGAAATGGTACTTTTACCATGAACTTAGTAAAGGTCTCTGTCACCTAGTTTTGGCTCTATAGTCATGGCTATAAATTTTCAGTGTTGTCTGTCATCTTCCGTGTATATGAACATTTGTCACATTTTACATTTTTTACATATGTAAATGACTTTGAGAGTAGAGTTGATTCACATGTCATTCATCATTCCTTTGTCTACCAGATTCTTTGTTCCATGAATTTCACTCATTGATTGCCCAACACATAATTCAAATCCTTGACACTTAGTTGTGTTTCAAGATATTTAAGTAAACAGTCATTTCAAAACAGATTATTACATTTGTTTACGTAAGAAATCATTTAATATAAACTTATTTCATAAACTTTGCTTAAAATTGCCATTTAATTAATTTATGCCATGATGCTTTCTTTAATGGTTAAAATAAGATTTAGATAATATTTTGAATACTTTGATATCTACAGAAGAATTACTGTCATCACAAGAGAAGTCTCCTGGTATGAAGGATGTGGTACTAAGTATGGAGTATAGTAAGAAATCAGATGTAGATACTTCCAAACCATCTGGTGAAAAAACCATTACACATAAAGGTAATTTTTATTCAAACAAGAAATTTTATTGAGGTAATGTTTTAATTTGGGGAGAAATGGTTTTTATGTATATAACATAGCTAGTAAATTAACCTACTCAAACTTGTACTTTCATATCTAGTTGCTCAGGTAAAATAATGGCTTTCAAAAATGGCCACAAAATGATTACTTATTTTTAAAGTATTAAAGTAGATCATAGAACAGAGACCACACCAATTAATTATATACTAATGTGTTCTTGTATGTTTTTATTAATCCTTGCTTTAAATAAAACATTTTAATTTGAACCTTAGGTTAAATATGAACTTGGAAAGAAGCATGATAAATTCAGAGCAGTGTGCATATAGTGTATGATAACATTGAAAGGAATGAAGTTTATGTAATTAATATACATAATTTTTTTGTTTATGTCAAGATATTTAAATTTCAGGGGTTTTGTTTATGTGCTAAGATATTAAGAATTTTTTTTACATTTACTGTATCTGAAGTTGTTTAGATAAAACAATGTAATAAGAAATCAAGTGCGATTTTATTTCTCAATTTAGCCTCTCAAGAAACAAACTATTTGTGTTTGATTGCTGAACTATTAGGCCATAATTACAGACCTAATACCCCTGGTGGCTCATGTGCTTTAAGCCACAAACAATTTCCAGATCTCATGAGACTTTCAGATACTTTCATCCACAAACCTGTATGTCATGTGTCTGAGAAGGAAAGAGGGATGACTTCCAAATCTTACTCTCCCACCCTCACTCTCCTACCTCTGTTAAGTCTAGTATCTCCATCTGTCCTATTCCCAGCTGACATGCAACAAGAAAAAATCTGCACTGTAAATCATCAAACCATATCATACTTGGATTCCTGTAAAATAATTGCCATTCTTTTTCTGAAATTGATAACTTTGGACAAATCCTGTCTCTGTGAAAATTGATCTCTCGTACATTATTTAGAAACGTTAATGTTGCTTTTTGTTTCTTTCCTCCTTTACCTTGTTTGCCTAGGGTAACAGTAGTGGAGAGCTTAGTTGAGATCCATTTTTTTCTTCCAGTTCTTTGCTGGCTTCATTATAATTTTTTTCTGTTTCATCTCAAAACTCTAAACTGATTGTGATAACACTGTTCTTATGTTCCTGCATTTATTTTTTGTTTACAGTATACATTCTTTCATTTCCTCTACTTTTGTTCTTATCCTTTTTTCTTGCCCAAAACAAATCCTTTCTTTACAAAATCTGTTAGGAATTAATAGATAAAACTATGATGGGGATGTGACAGTTACCAAGCATCTACTGTGTGTCTCCCACATTGTAGTAGATGTTATCTGTACATTAGCTCATTAATGTGTGTCACAATCTTATGATGACATTATTTTTATAAAGTAGGAAACTGGGTCATTACATTTTTGTTTATCTTTTTATTGTAAAAATGTAAATACTTTCAACTTAGTTTAAATCATTTTTAAGTGTCAATATTTTCTTGACATATCTAAGCTCTTTGAAATGAAGACAAAATGTCCAGTTACATTTATAAATTTTTTTATCATCAAAGACAGATAATATTAAATACCTAATTTATAGGAACAATAACATTTAATACTAAAAATTAAATGTAATAATTGAAATGTTTTTGTTCCATAACAGGCATATTTTGTATTTATTTCCTATTTAGTCAGTTATTTTCAAAATTAGCATTGAAACTGTAGTAAAGTTTATACAATTTTACATGTCTTCAGAATTACCAATATTCTGGTGTAGTTATTATAATCATAGATATTTGGTATGTCAGTCTTGATTATCGAGGCATACAGTATACAAGGGAACAAAAAGAGCACCCTTTGCATACTTACTTTGTGTTAAGCACTGAGCTAAAGGCATTAATGCTTGCAGTATAGCAGCCTTAAGAGGTAGGTCTTGTTCATCCTTTTTACAACTGAGGGGAGTGAGGAGTTAAGTCACACAGTTAGTGGTGATAGTGGAATGCTGGGAGTCTGGCTGAAGAGCCTGCTGCAGTGTACTCGTTCTGTCCAAGTTGGGGGTTCTATGTGCCTTAAACAAATAATACAAACTTATATTAAGAAAAAAACTGAGGTTAGGAAAACTTAACCCCAGGAAAATACTTATAGATATTTAAGTGTAAATGGACCAATATATGCATACATGCATGCATATACATATATAATGTCGTATTTCTACTCTATAAGCCATAGTTCATCAGCTTTTCAACTGATTTCAAGTATGAAAGTTTAAAAGTTTAAAAATTCTGCCGAAGTTTTGGTCAGTTTGTACTGGAATAAAATTTAGGGGTGAGCGCTAATCAGTAGCCCCTTTGGAGGAGTCTAAAATATGTTTGCTTTTTAAAATCCTAAACACTCAGTGTAGAAAATATCTATCTTCAGTCTTGATTATTTTTCATAGACTGTTTCTTCATACTATGTTTTGTTTATAAATGTTCTCTATTTACATTACATTTTAATTATTTTACTAATATAAAGGCAATTAACTTATATTTTGTGTTTTTTAAACATAATCTAGATGAGGAAGAGGATGGCAAGACTCCAACTCAACCACTGTTGAAAAAAGGCAGGCATTTTTCATCATTTTATTTTAATCCCTTTTTTTCATACTGTTAACTCTGACTCCAACCTTATGATTTTCTTTTTTTACCTTAGTTTTTATTTTCATGGTGAGGTGATGTTACAGTTATTTATTAAATGCAGATTAGAAAAATTATCATCAGTCCAACTAAAGAGTTAAATCATTCCAGGAAAAGGTGATATATCAAAGACAAATGCTTTTATATTACCATTTCTGAAATATTCAAACCCTGAAAGTCAATATTAATTTTTTAACTTAAACTGCATGGTTTAGATGATAAGTAGAGACACTGAAATAGGTTTATTTACAGTGTCACTTGCATTCTTTACCATCAGTTGTACCCAGCCAAGTCCTTAATTTTGATACTAATATATTTTTCATTTAAAAATTACAATATTTCTCACAGTCCTGCTGCGTTTGGGAGATACACAGTCATGTCAACATACATGAATTTTATGAAAAGGAGATAGAGGTGAGAGTTATGGAGCAGTGTGGTTTGGTAGCCATATTATTTCATCATGCAAAATCATTTGTCATGTTTGCGTACATCATGGCAGCATGAAAAGTGAATGATAGACATTCTGCAAAAGTGATCAGATTTCCTCCTGTGGATTTCTGCTTTTCAAAATTTGGTGTAGGAATTTCATAATAGTCATTTGCTTGCTCACAGAGCCAGTGCTGATTTTTTTCCCCCCCAATTCCTGAGAATATAAAAGGGAACTCTCTTGGTATATTGTCTAAAGACTTGTATCATACGGGTGCCCTTCCAGGGAGTTCCCACCATCTTTCTGTGGTTCAAAGAAAGATGTGGTTATATGGCTTTAGATTTGGGTGTTATATATTGAGGGGACAAAAATTAGGTCAAGATGAGGAAATTTTTCCTTAGACAAAGCTTTCGCTGTGATAATTGTGTGATTGTATTGGTATGTCTTCCACTTCCTTCTGTCTTTCATATTATAGATAACATTTAATTTACAAATTTTTTTGAGTTTAGAATTATTGAGAAACCAAATTACAAAAGAAATATATTCATGGAATAGGTGTAAACTTAATTTGTCCAGTTAGCCCAATATAGCCATTCAGAAATCAAAATCCATCAGTCAATTATAATATTCTTGATGAGTATGTATGACTCTCATTCAGAATGCTTAAATATCGGAAATTAGGCAAGATAATTTGGATGAGTTTAGCTATTGTAAAGATGTATTTATCTGTAACGATTTTAAAAGTATGTTTAAATCATAAACAACTGAAGGTTTATGATGGATGTCATACACAACTATCTGCATTATAAACAATTGAATATATAAAAGTTAGGATACTAGGAATTCAGCAAAAGGGACTTTAACATTTAGCCCCCTCACATTGTATTTTTCTCCTTAATCCTGTAGAATCCAAAGGCCCTGCTGTGCCTTTAAATGTAGCTGACCAAAAGCTTCTTGAGGCCAGTACACAGTTTCAGAAAAAACAAGGAAAGAATACTATTGACGTCTGGTGGCTTTTTGATGATGGAGGTAAGGCTGTTAACATATTTTTTAACAGTTTTAAATTTACTCAAGTTGTGGGAATACTACTAAGAATTGGCATATACTCTTCGCCAAGAGACCCCATTCCAGTTTTGCCAACACTCCCAAAAGCAGTAGGATTCATTTCAGAATCAGGCATTGCGCTTAGTGGTCACATGTCTTCATTGTCCTTCAATTTGGGAGTTGCTTGGTCCTTCCTTGAGCTTCACGGCATTAATGTTTTTAAAAATATTACAGACCATTTTGTAATTTGTCACTTAAAATTTGGAATGCCATTTGGTGTTTCGTCATAATCATTTTCAAGTTAAGTATTTTTGGTAGAAACATCACGGAAGCCATGCTGTGCTCTTCTGTCCGTATCTCTCGCATCAGGCGGCACATGATGGTGATTTATCTCATCACTGGTGAACTTAGCTTTCACTGTTGAGTAAGGTGGTTTTCCCCAGGTTTATTTATACACTGAGTTACTCTTTTTCCCCTTTTATAGTTACACATATTTGAGGTGTGGGGAGTTACTTTTAGACTTTGTAAATGTACCATTGTTACTGCAACTTTTACCACCACCTTTAGCATCCATTGATATTTCTGCTTGAATTTATTATTGTTGTTATGGTGGACTTGTGGTTGCCAAATGATGATTTTCCAATCCTGTCACTTCTTCCTCATTTATTAGTTGGCATTTTACTATAAGGAACAGCTTTCTCTTTATTTCTATCTGTGTAGACTCATGGATTTCTCTTGTATTCACTGGGAAATGCTTTGTCATTCTCATTATTTGTTTTGATATTCAGATTGTCCTGGATTTCCTGTTTAGTCTTTTGTGTCCATTTCTCATGTCCCAATCATTCTTTATTTTCTGATATAATAAGATGTGCCAGGCAGTTTTGTACTTTCCTTACACCAGCCATTGAATCACCCTTTATCCAAGGAGCCCTGATTCCTTTTAGTGATGAGAGGTATTGCGAACCAAAGATCAGAGCATTAGATATGCTCGTCGCTACTAGCGTGTCCCTGCCCCCAGGCCCTCTCAGTGGATAGATCTAGAAAATACACATATACCGGGGGTGCCAAAAAAATGTGTATACATGACTTGTATTCATCTTTGGTTATCAGTATATATTACAATTTTAATAGTTTTTTCTTTTCTTAAAATGTATATACATTTTTTTGGCACCCTCTGTATATGTTTCTATGTGTACATGTAGGTTGAAAACCACTTCCAGTCCAACACTGAGGGGTTCAGTCCAGCTTCTCCCTTTTTATGTTTCTCATTTATTTCAGTGAGAAACTTGACTCCCAGTCGCTTCAATGAATATTCTCAACCTTCCTGTATGTGGCTAATTTCCTAACTGCCAGGTCACTGTCCCATTTCACTGCCTTTGGAGCCTCCCCTAGTTCAGCTCTGCCTGTGGCTTTATGACTGAATCCAGGAAGGCCAGAAAGAAAAAATTTGTTTTATATTGAGTTGTAGTAAACATGTTTTTAGAGACTAAATTGAATTAAAAATTCTTAATTGAAATATCAGCATTTAGTAAATGATTTGTTATATTTTCATGATTCAGGTTTGACCTTATTGATACCTTATCTTCTGACTACCAAGAAAAAGTGGAAAGATTGTAAGATCAGAGTATTCATTGGTGGAAAAATAAACAGAATAGACCATGACCGGAGAGCGTAAGTCTACTTTAAATTGAAGGGCATTTAACTAGTAGTACTTGGCTATTACAATGTAGATTTGATAGGATAAAAATTAGGCAATCCATAAAATGTCAGCATTGTTCTGTTCTGTACTGAAACTGAAAATTGTAGTTAAAGAAATAAAACCTCATTCTCTTCCATTTAGTCTTTATGTTTTAAGTTGTAAATATTTAGTTTTGCTGATATGTAATAATTTTTAATATATTGACATTTTAGAAAGTTTTTATTAAATACTTATGGTATTAAAGTATTAAGCAGCTTTTTTTTTTTAATCGGGGAGAAAGTGCACAAAAATTACATATTCATATATGGGATACATTTTGTAGACTTGTAGACAACAGAAACACAGGATGCCATTGTCATCCATTCTCTTCTATCTGTCTGTATTGTCACAGTTCTACATTTGGTTTCAGTGCTTCTCTAAATACCCTGTGTCTTGTGTCTGACCTTTTCAACATATATTGTACATATTGTACATCCAATTTCATTTTTGGAAAGCATAGCTTGATCATGATTCCTCTCCCCACAATACTTCTAAATTCTTCTCTCTTACATACCAGAAAGTCGATGCCAAAATGTGACAGGGCCCTTTACAATGTCTTCCTGTTCTCTTTGTGTCTTTATCTCCTGTTCCCCACACCCCCAAAAAATATGCCTTATACTTTAGTTTACATTTCTGCACCTGCCCTAAACATGCATGTGATTTCAGACTTTTACTCCTTTGTCTACTCTCATCTCTCTGCTGTAAATAGCTCTTTACTTGCCTCCCTTCTCTGTTAAAATACTCCATTCTTTAAAGACCAGGATAGGTGTCACCTTCTTCACAACGCCTTCCCTAATTTTTTTCCCCTTGTCACCCGCTCCACGCCCCTTCCAGTTATTACATTTCCTCCCTAAATCATGATACCATTCACCACATTCTGGGGCTTGTATTGTGTTTATTTTATTATCTTAGATTTGAGTTTTGTGGGCCCGATAATACATAGTAGGCACTTAGTAGATTTATACCAGAATTCAACAAGGTGTTTATTCATTTCAAACAGTGAATTATGCAAGAAATAGTAGAAATAATGTAAAAGTTAAACCTGTTGCTTATCTGTTTTCTAATATCTTAATTTAGAAAACTCATTTTGTTAAAAATGAAATCTTGTTAATTGCTTTTCCTGTTTGTATGTTTCAGCTTTTCTATTGTTGTCACCAAGGCTTTATTGCCAGCTATGCCTCCAACAAGAGTATTTATTTGCTGAGATATCAGAGGCTTGTTGGGGCTCCCTTTCCATGCCTGTCCAAGTCCTCCCTACCCTGCAGAAAAAGGCTGTGGACTTAATCTATACCATCAGTTATAGCTTCAGTTTGGCCCAAAAAGTTATATCTGGGCCTTGAGAGATGCGTTCTTCATGGATGGAAAATAATCCAAAATTAATTAAACAAATACCTATTTACTAGTTTTACTGAAATCCATGACCTTAACAATATAATTTGACTAAAATTAACTTTAAAGAAGCTAGTTGCCATTTAAATTTCATTATTAATGTCTTTCTCTGTCCATTCATTATTGGATACTAAGAAGAGATTCAGAGGAAATAAAAGAATGCAACAGAAGTCTCTACTCAGAATTTAGATGTCTATTTTGTGAATATACAGTGTGAATTATGAATTAATTCAGATGGACTTTGTTTAGCACCTGATAGACTTTTCATACATAAATCATGGTTTTCAGTACAGATATGCAGCCCTAAATATTAGAATAAAATAATAGAATAAAAATACTTGTACACAACCTTCACATGCCTCAGTGCTATTCATTTTTGTTCTAGAATGGCTACTTTGCTTAGCAAGTTCCGGATAGATTTCTCCGATATCATGGTCCTGGGAGATATTAATACTAAACCAAAGAAAGAAAAGTAAGTAATTGGATAAGCTACTTTGTACAATTTTCTGATCCTTTTATGGATAACCTACCCAGACACTTCAGTAACAGATCATTCAACTTAAATGAATTACCGGAGGTTTTGCCTGCTGTTAGTTACATGTCAAGTCAGCTTTTTAAATCTAGCACAGATAGTTGGCATGCCTATAGCACATATCGAAGTGAGTCTAAAGGGTCTTCAGTTACTGTTTATAAGGACTTTCTGAAAGTCTTAATGCCACAGAAACTCCACATGGTTCTTTAAATTTCCATTGTTTATGACCACTCAATCCCTACTCCACATCCGACTTACTTTACACTCTTGTTTTATTATTAAAATAGGAGAACCTAAGAATTTGCTTATAATAGTTGCATTCACAATTCTCAAGAGTCAAAAGTAGACTTGTGGAATATTCTATCTGAAAATAATATATAGTGGTTGTCACAATTATATGTATGTTACCAGCCAGAATTTTATTCTCAGATAAATGTTGAATAAATGATGATGCTGGTATAAAGAATTGATTTTAAATAGAAAATAGTAAGGTATACCTTTGTAAGGTTGTAATCAGGGAGAGATTTGTATGACACTTCATTCTCAAAAATGGGTATCACAGGACCCATTCCAATGTGTGTATGGAGGCTTCCCCACACCAACAAGCAATTCTCGGACACCAGCAAGGTGTCTTAGAATTCAACTCAGAACGTTGTCTACCCAGAGATAGAATCAGATTGCACAAGTTAGAGGGCTCAGTCCCGTAAGAACTGTCCTCCACTTTACATGCCAATCACAAGCCTAGGTTGTTACCTGTACTTCTGACCAACTGGCTATAAATCAGAGGTTGTCACAACCCCCTCCTCATGTTCAATTAATTTGCTAGAATGGTCCCTAGATTACCGCTTTATTACAAAGGATACAAATCAACAGCAAGATGAAGGGATACATAGGACGAGGTCCCCAAGGAAGGAGCTTCTGGCCTCGTGGAGTCGGGGCCTGGCAAAGTGGTACATGGAAGCATGCTGGTTCCCCAAAATGGAAGCTCTCCAAAAGTGAGAGAAAGGAACTCATGGGCTGGCCTACTGGGTTTTTATGGAGGCTTCATTACATAGTCATGATTGCCGAAGTTATTGGCCATTGAACTCCATCTCTAGCCCAGTCCTTCTCCTGGGAGATTGTGGATGGGGGTAACAACTGAAAGTTCCAAACTTCTAACCACAAGGTGGGTTCTCCTGGCAACCAGCCCCCACCCTTGGGTGGTGTCTAAAAGCCACCTCATTAACAACAAAACACCTTTATGGCTCTCAACACTTAGGAAATTCCAAGGGTTTTAGGACCTGTGAACCAGGAACTGGACATGAAGACCAAATGTCATAAATCACAATATTGCAATGCTGAAAAATGCTTTTCACATTCATGAAAGGGTAGAATGTTCTAATCCATGTTCTTTTAGTATCTTTTGTCCTATTAAGTATCTTTGGATCTAGAGATGCATTCTGCATCTTCTTAAATGTTTAGTATTTGCCCTTTCCTCCCTTCAAAATGTTGTAGTACCTTTTCTTATACTACTTTGATTTAGTGGTACTTGAACTGGGAAAGCCTTTGAGTAAAGGATTAACGCAATTTGACTTATTGCTCAAAGGAATCGTTTTTTTGGCTACCTTGGTGAAAATTTACTTAGGTTGAGGGGGTGGGCATAGGGTCAGGGGTCGATGCAGAGAGATCAGAGTAGTTAGAGTATGGAGGGGGAACACAGTAGATGGGAAACACTAACTTTTCAAGTTATAATTTAGCATTTAAGATCTTATTGTTAAGTAATTCAAAATAAAGATAATTGTCTGTATTTCTATTTTTTTAAAGTATTGTAGCTTTTGATGAAATGATTGAGCCATACAGACTTCATGAAGACGATAAAGAACAAGACATTGCAGATAAAATGAAAGAGGATGAACCATGGCGAATAACAGATAATGAGCTTGAACTTTATAAGACCAAGGTATTCTTTTCATTAATCTTCCATGTGATTTTTAAAATATTTAGGATATAAGTATCAAGAGCTGCAATTTGTTATGGGGGGAACCAGTTATGTAAATTAAATCTACTTTAAGTTGGATTTATACATGGACAGTGTAAAGAATTTTTTTAAATTAGGGAACAGATTTTTATTACACCAAAATTAATTTTTATTTCTCTCTGTCTACTCTAGTTTTATGAACCACACTAGATTTTCAAATGGTCTAGGAATGACTTTGTCCTGTTTCATTTCAGACACACCGGCAGATCAGGTTAAATGAATTATTAAAGGAACATTCAAGCACTGCTAATATCATTGTCATGTAAGTAATACTTGTACTAAGATTTTCTTGGGTATTTTATGATAATGCAATTAGGATTGATTTCTATGCCAAGTACATATTTATTTAACACCCATAATGACTTAGTAGTTGTAAGGAGGAAAAAACAAACTTTTTAAAATATACTTGAAGCATATGGAGGAATCATTTAAAGTAGGGGAAAAGAAAAACAAAAATCTTAAGCTTATATGAATCTTTTTTATCATAGCAGTTTATTCTGGAATTTTTCCTTTATCCTTATTCCCACCTTTTAAAATTGTTTTTAGCTTTGGAAACACTGTAGCATGTGTGGGGTATGAGGGTCCAAAGTTAAAAGATGGACCCCGGGCAGCTTCCTCATAGAAATAACCTCATAAAATTACCTGGAGGATTAAATTTAAAAAGTGGTTCCTGTCTGAAGCCCACCCCAAGTTTCCACACACAAACTTTCCATACAGACACACCGTCCTTGCGGTCAATATAGATGCTGATGCTCACTCTGGCTTTTCCTCCACTAAACCAGCTTAGCTAGATATTACTTGAACCTAAATTTTCTGTCCTGGAGCCTGGGTTCCTAAACAGGTAAGGAAAACTCACACTTTCAATAACATGCCAAAGTGAACACACAGCCTTGTTATTTTAATTAGCAATAAACATTTACTACACCAGAAAATTTCAAATTTTGCTGGTGGTCAAATATCTGTAACGGAAGATGCCAAAACATAGACATTTAGAAATACTTTATAGAGCAATTGGTCCCTATTGCCAGTATCTACAAATAGAAATGAAAGCCCAGAGAGATGAGAAGATAAAAATTAATATGTAGAATTAATTATGTTTGAATTTCATTTAGCCATGTATAGTTTCCACTTTCTAAATTCAGATGGAAACATTCTTTTCTCCTAAAAGAATTCCATACTTATTGAAAAAGGAAAATTTGGGGGTTCAGTGTTAGATACCAAATGTGTTATGGTTTATAGAAATATTTATTTGCTATTCATATGAAGAAGTTTTTTAAAATCTTGATCAAACTTAAAAAAAATAAAGGAATAGTGTTATGGCAGTATAGTAGTTGCTATACTATAGGCAGAAATTCCCCACACTTAAAATTATTCTGCAACTGTAATAATTTTTAGTTACTATTATTGTGATTTAATTTATAATTTTTATTACATTTTGTTCTTCTCAACTTAAATGCATTGCTTCATTTTCTTTCTCTCTTTGATACCAGGAGTCTCCCAGTTGCACGAAAAGGTGCTGTGTCTAGTGCTCTCTACATGGCATGGTTAGAAGCTCTCTCTAGGGACCTACCACCAATTCTCCTAGTCCGTGGGAACCATCAGAGCGTCCTTACCTTCTATTCCTAAATGTGCTACACAGTGGGCAGCCCTTCGGATGGTACTTCAGTGCCTAGTGAAGTAACTGAAATCTTCAGTGACATGTTAACATCACAATAGCGAACTGTGACTTTTCTTTCACTATTTCATTAATTGGAAAGCACACCGGAAGTTGCTCCATTGGTCTGTGCATCGAGACTTCAGTTTTAGTCAATAATGTATCTCAATCTTAATGATTCCTTGTTGGACTGAAGCTCATGAGCATGAAGTTTTCCTTTGCTACTTGAATAGCAATAAAAGTGTGTTATTTTTTGATTGATGAAAAGAGTACAAAAAGCCTTTAGCCTTGAGGTGCCTTCTGAAAAATAACCAAATTTCATCCATATACCCTCTTTTATAAATTTATAGAATGTCAGACTTTGCCTTCAGCTATTTTTATTTCTAGTCTCTTCCACCTTAAAATGGACACTGCTTTTCTTCCATTGACCAATTAGTGTTGAGTACTGTATGTTTTCTATCATTTTTGTAAAGGTATATGTTAGATTTTAAAGGTGAGAATTAGGGCATGTTAATGAAAAATGCAATAAAAAAAAAAATGGGAACCAAAAAGTGACCCTAAGTTTAAGTTTGTATGAGTATGTATAAATGTAGATCTAGGGAAAAAAGGCCCAATAAACCTTTTTGTTGTTGTTGTTAAACTTCTCAGTGGCTCTTTTTATCTTTATTTGATTATGTCTTGAAACCTTAGTGAAGGTTGTAGATTTATCCAGTACTTCTGTATACCATGCTGAAAAAACATATATTGCCATTCTTTAGACAAAAATCATTAAGATCATTTATATTTATTAGAAGAGAGATCTGTCCTCAGAGTTTTCCTCAAATCTGAGGGACTTTTAAGAAATGCTAAAAAAATTTTTAGAGGGAAATTAGACAAAGTTATGTCATTTCATAGAATATTTCAGTAAACACTACATGGAATTTCACTATATTATCCTTTTTAAATCATTAAAATAATGTCTCATCAAATGGTTAAATGGACCACTGGTTTCTCAGTGAAATGTTTTTAGGCTTAATTCATTCAGTTGTCAAGTATGCTTAGTCTTAATATACTCAGGTTTGAACAGATTATTCTGAACATTTAAATTTAATCCATTCTTAATACTTTATTAAGACTTTTGTGTTAAGAAAAACTGCCAGTTTATGCTTTTGAAATGTCTGTTTTGACATCATTGTCTACTAGTACAAATTGGACAGTGCATATGTACTGTTACTACAAGCTTTATATACAGTTATTAATGTGAAGTTTTTCATTTTTTATTCAAGGAAGGATTTCTTAAAAACATTTCAAGGGATATACATCTACATATCTGTGTGTGTATATGTATATGTGTATGCATTCACAGATGCATATGTGTATATGTACAGAGGGTGCCAAAAAATGTATACACATTTTAAGAAAGGAAAAAACTATTAAAATTGTAATGCTCAATATATACCGATAACAAAAGATGAATACAAGTCATGTGTATACATTTTTTTGGCACCCCTGGTATGTAATGACACTTATGTTTCTGGTTTTGCATCTTAAGTGATCAAGACTCATTAAAGTTTTTTTGTTTTAGAAAGCATAAGTTCAAAATTAGATGGAAAGCTATAGGTTTCTTGGAGAACAAGGGTGTTCATTTGAAGAGCATGTAACGTAACAGTTATCATTCAATTAGAAAATGGAGAACATTTTATATAAAGTGCTGTTCACTGGGTTTATTGGTATGTTTCAGTGGTGAAGTTATGCAGGTTTTCATGAATCGTGATAGAAATCTATAAAATTACTACTGTTGTCAATAGTGCAGTATTTTTGCTGCATGAGTATGAACTAAATTAATTTAAAAATGGAGATCTGATAATAATTTTGAATTCAGAATAAGAATGAAATAATGTTTTTTTTCATAATTTTTTAATACATTATTAACTCACAACATTGTTCCATTTATTGCAGGTTTGTAGTGTTTTGGGGTAAAGACAGTAGAAATGTCACATTATTCAGTATACAATATCATGTTTGAACTTTTAAAATGAATAATAGGGCATGAACTGAGTGCTGCTATATTGAAATGTGCACAGGTACACTTACTTTTTTTTTTTTTTTAAGTTTCTCCCATTCAGGAAAACAATGTGATCTGTACTGCAGGAACCAAATGTCATGCATCATACATATGTGTATAAAGTACATAAAATATATCTAAATATGCATAATGGGGGAAGGGTAATATTGTCTGTGAAATAATGTATGAAGCTTTTCACTTAAAAAAAATGTATTACTTTTACTTAATGCTAGACACCAGCTCAAAAATTTCAAGGTTATTGTAGTGCTCTAATAAATTTTAATAATTCTAAGAGATGCTAGCTTGTGTTGAAGCTATTCTACTCTTTTATTTATGCTGAATTTGATTATTTTAATGCCAATTTTTTGCCCTAATCATTGGTGATAACTTGGAAACAAATAATTATGCAATAACATTTGACAGTTCATTATTCATATAGGTAAAAATTAAGTGGGTTTAGAGAAAATGGTGGTATTAAGCTGATTATTAATGGTTGATTAAATCAAATATTTATTTGTTACATTTTTTCTTTTGTATTTTAGGTTCTTTTACATTCTTTTTATATGCTTTCTGACTACATATTTTTAAAGACTATGGAAATAATTTAAAGATTTGAGCTCTGGTGGCTGTTTACTAAGTTTGAAAATGTAATATTTTGATAATACTGTACTATAACTGTCACACAAATGCTTTTCTAATGTTTTAACATTGAATATTGCAGTTGCTGCTTTGTACAGAGGTTACTGCAATAAAGGAAGTGGATTCATTAAAACTATTTAATGTCTACTCATGTTATAAATCTTTGTCAACTTTGTGATTTACCCTCATATATATAATTTATTGATGTGTGAGTTTTTTTCATGGCTTTCACCTTAATGATTTCACTTTTTAAATTCTGCTTTATTTACCTTTGGGCCAAATCATGCATTTATGAATGAGGAAACTAGAAGATTAAATGTCCCTGAATATAATGATTCTGTTCTTCCTAAAATTTTTGGCTAAGCTGACTTACAGTTTTACAAAGCGTTTTCACTTTCTCATTTGAACATTATAGTAGGTGTGTTATACATATACAGACAGCTCCTTATCCCTGTTTTAAGAAAGTTGCATGGAGCAGCGTAGAGAGTTCCCCAAGGTCATGTGGTAAATCAAAGAAGGACGTTGACCTAGAACCCAGGTCTTCCATCTCCAGGGATGTCTCCAACCCATTTACTGCTGCCTGTCCATAGGCCTGGCCTAGATTGGTCATTTCTAAACTTTCTATACAATTACAAAATACAGATTAAAGTCTGCTTTAATAGATCTGAAACCAAACATATGTGTCCATTGTATGATCTTTGCTTCATGCTCATTCTCCAACAAGCTACTATTCAGGCCAGTTCACTCACTGCTTTGGGGAGTTAAAGAGAATTCAAAGGCAACTCTGAATGTGGCATTTCATAATATCAGAGCATACAACAGTTTTCCGAACAGGAATGTAATTCATCTTTGAGCCAGCAGGTTTTTTCAGTCGTTCACCAGGAAGACAAATGCATTTGATACGCTTCTGTCTTTATGTATCAACAGGATGTTTGTAGGATCAGAGCAAATTGTTGGTAGTTTAATGTTTAACTGTTTCAGTATATGGCACAAGCCCTAGGATATACTCATGAGAAAGTACTGTTTAATTTAGCTAGTTTAGATTGTAGATACACAAAATGTGTTGGTGGGTTAACCAATTTAACATCTCTCTTTTTTTTTTGTAGAACTACTGAAACACCTAAAGATCCAAGTCGCACTGCTCCATAGAATTTGGAGTCAGTGGCCTAGGACCTGTTTTACATGTGTGACAGGCATTTCAGATAGGCTACTAAATGGTAGCAGTAAGAACTTCAGCCCATTTTTCCCCCTTGAATCTATCATTGAATTAGTAATAAATTGGTAATGACCAATTACTAATAGTAATTACTAATAGTAATAGTAGTTACTAATGACCAATTAGTAACTACCAATGAATTAGTAATGGTGAATTAGGTAAGAGTTAGAAACTACTGTTTTAGGGGAAATGTGAAGGCCTCTGACTTTGTCGCCTGTTAGGCAGCCTTCCTTGTGGCTGCTGTCCTCGCAGATCAGGAACTGATTCTCAGAAATGGTAGTGTCTTCTCAACTAGTCCACTCTTCTAGGATATGAATGCAAATTACCAAGGTATTCTGCCCACAGCTACAAGTGAAAATAAACAACTTTTTTTGTGATCCACAGAATAGGATCATGGATATGCAAAAACAAAGGACCCTGACTCGGTACTTGTCAGAATTTCATTAGAATACTGCGAAGCATTTCGAGTGGAAAATTATGGCAATTTTGTCATAGACGCATTGACTGGCCCAGTCTAAAGAAGGGAAACAGTTGGCAGGGTAACTTTATACCCAGCTCTGATATTGAGTTGTTGGGAAAGTCATGACACATTTTTGCATTGAAAAACAGAAAAACACTTCGTGACTTTCCCAACGACCCAATATTTCTAATGGATATACCAACAAAAGTTTTAAAATTAAGGCAGCATTGTTGTTGGTTTTTTTTAAGATTTTATTGGGGAATTGGGGAAGGGGAACAGACAAGTTGCTGTCCTTTTGTTCTTCAGTCTAGTTGTGGAGGACGTTGCTTCACTG